TCACTTATGTTTACTGTTTTTTTTGTTATATTTTATAAATAGTATATTAAATTTTATTTAAAAATCATACACACATATATGGCTTACAAATGAAATCAGTAGAATATTACTGCTCCTTTTAGGATTAATGATGAATATATCAAGAAAAATAAGATCCTAATTCGTGTCGAGGTAAACACACTTGATTAGCTGTTGGACGATCAATTTTCTTTCGTTCATCTATTACTTTCCAATAGTTTGTATAGATAAATTGTACTAATTTACAATATTTATTAATACTAGTTTCTTTAGTTAATAACCATTGACGCATTGTTGCATTCACACCCAAAATTTTATCAGCCAATTGAAGATTTTCAGGTAGCGATCGTTCAATGATACTTAATGACTAAAATAAATATGAAAATATTTGGTAAGATCATGTCAAGAATGCAAAATCTCAATCTTTTATTGTTAGGAAAAGAAACACATGATAACATACCGAATAATTTTTAGTTGGTATTTGTCTAAACCATAGATATTCATTATAAGCGGTTTGATTATTTGATAAATAATTTAAATAATCAGCTAATTCTTTAACTGATTCATAATCATATATATTAATATATGAATATTTTGGTGCAAAACGTGAATAATCCGGTTTACCATTTCGGCTAGCAACAATAGGTACTGATGTTGATGCAAATACTTCAATTAATTTTTCTGTAACATAATCTTCGCAATTCGAATTTTCAATTGCAATTACAAATTTATATGTTGAATATAAAATCGAATTTATTTGTTGACGTTTTTGTATATTACTTAATTTAATATTATTGAGACATTTACCATAAGAATCAATACGAATATATGTCATTAGTTTTTCAATAAAAACTTGACGTGCATTATAAGCTTGACTAAAAATCAATATTTTTTATTTTTATAATAAAAGAGGAATATTACTTAGTTTAACTTACCAATTCGATATAATCCAAACAATTGGAGCCGTTGTTGTTTTATTTATGAAAGGTATATAAACCGGCGCAAATAATTGCGGAAGATATATTTGAAGATCAAAGTAAGTAGCAGGTTCAGGATATGACCGTTGAAGATTATACCACATTGGAAAATCAATTTTATGCCAATGTTCACCATTTGATGAATGTACTTCACTTTCAAGTACATAAGTCGTAGAAAATTGTTGTTGTTGATCATTACGTATTAGTTTTGGTAAATTCTGCCATGGCATATGAATAGAATGATATGCTAGAAGATGAGCTTGTTTTAAATATGATCGATCAGATGTCCAACGAACATTAAGTTTTGATAAACGAGAACAACGTTCAATAAGAAATAAACGAAGCGTATTATTCAATATTGAAATAAATTTTAATTGACAATAATCAGGAGTTATATGAGAAAAATCACCTAGAAAAATGTCGATGGGATATAAATCTAATTATTTACAAAATTCTTTCTATTCATCGTCGATTATAGAAAGTTTATTGGATTAGCTAATTCTATTGATCATTTCAACACATAAAAATAATTTTATTAGTAACAGTTTTCTTCAGAAGATATAGAAATCTAAACTTACATTTAATCGGATCTTGTTCTTTAAATATATGTTGAGTAGCAGTCCAATCAAGTACAAGAAAATCATTATCGTTTTTCTTAATCAAAAATTGTTCTTGTTGTTTAATATAAGTTACATGATCGATTAAATCTTTCGATTCAATATGAAATTGAGAAAATATATATATATTGATTAAAATCGTACTAAGGAGAAAATAGATGGATACACATTTCAGTGATTTTCGCATCGAATAATA